GTTGGCTTGAATTAATCAAAAGGCAGTTTATCCAGGTGGGCCTGGCCTAATTATACAAGCCCTTTTAATCTGGGTCTGGAGATCAGAAACAGGGGAGAGAGATTTAGAATTCTGAAAGACAAGCTCCTGGTAGCCTGCAAAAAGTAAACATCCATGTTATAAATTGCTTCTGTGGACCCTGTGGCAAGGAATTTCAGGCAGCCCCCAGGAGAGGCTATGCGAATTAGCAAGAAAACAAGGACTTCAGTCTGACAGCTGAGAGGGACTGAATTATGCCAACGTAAACTGCATGAGTTTAGAAGAGGACCCTGAGCTCCAAATGAGAACTACAGCAGGGACAGCACCTTGACTGCAGCCTGTGTGACAGCAAGCAGAGAAGCCCAACCATTCATGTCCAGAAATGATAAGATAATAATTGGGTTTTCTCTCAAGATGCAACATCTGTGGCATTTGTTAGGCAGCAACAGAAAACTAACGCACACTCCACTTTCTTAAGAAGCTGCTTCACTTGGAAACGAAAAAAGGAGATAAGCAAACTTGGAGGAAAAAAAAAAAGAACTTTGACTTTCGTGATTTCTAACTCACTAGGTCTAGGAATTTTGCTCAATTGCTTGAGTCCAAGTACTTATTTTGCCATACCACATTTTGCCAAAATACAAGTTTTCTTTAAGCTCTGAGCAATGGGAACAAGTTTATTTTTATTTTCCGAAAATTACTTTGATAATTATGCAAAAATAAAAGTAACTGGGTGTCTAGGCTTCCTGAATGTCTGCCAAGGTTGTCCCAGCACCTGGAGACATAAGCTCCCCAGGCTAATCTCAGAAATTAGCACAAGGTCATAACGCCGAACCTTCCTCGAGTTTTAAGAGTTTCAGCTCCACAAACTACAATTTTTCATTTTTGTTCAGAGTAAGAATAGCTCGAGGTGTTCTCAGCTACAAAAAGAAAGGCAGTCTCTCCTGGATAATTACAACCTTGACCCCTAAAACGCGGACTCGAGCTGTCCCGGCACCGCCTTATTAAGATGCAATAAGCCAAGGCTATGCATATCCTGCTGGGAACTGTAGTTTCCCCCCCGTCGACCTTCAACCACCGGCTGCACGAAACCTATCACGCGCCCAACCGGCGACCGGGGCGCCAGCAGCCACGATTGGTCCCAGACTGGGGCAGCGCGGGGCTGATTGGATGGTACGTCCCCAAAGCCGTGCCTCCCGTCCTACGCCCGCCTCCCCGCCACCTTCTCATCCCCACGCCCCATCCCGCTTCAGCAATAACCCTCAAGTCATCCTTGTCGGGCGGACTCGCGAATTAACTGCCTCACGGGCCGCCCGGGCCGCTCGCGATAAGAGCGGCCTTGAGACACGCCTCTGTCCCCGGGCCTAAGCGGAGTCAAAGCCTCCCCTGCTTTCTATGGGTGGCCCGGAGGCAGTTTCACCACGCGCTCTCTCCCGGCGCCCCTGTCCTCACCTGGGCGGTGGAGGTCACGCCGGATAACTGACAGGCCCGCAGCATCTCTGCGTGGCGGACGGCGCTGCGGGTGTAAGTGGTTGTTCGGCGGGCGGTGCGAGGAGGGAAAACCGTGCGTGCGTGCGTGCGTGCGTCCGTGCCGCCTTTCCGCGCCGGGCGTACCGGAAGGGCAGCCAACGCCACTGCGCACGCGCAGCCCTCTACAGCGCCTTTCCCGGCCGGTGGGAGAGAAAGGGCCCGCCCCTGGCGGAAAGGGCGGTTTCTCCTTCCGGGTCGCTCCTGTGGTTCTGGTCCGTTGCCCGAAGCCGGGGTTAGTAGGTGAAAGCCAAGACTGGGAAGGTGTCTGGAGCTCCGGCATTGGTGCGCGCGGAAATCGGCAGTTATGACTCTTCGGAGAATTCAAGCAAGAAATCATTTCTGTCAGCTGGATACAGAAAGGAATGGGTTTGCCCAAAATTATGTAAACAGTGGTGTTTTCTCGGTTTGCGCGTTCGTTTCCTTTGACAGCCCTGAAGGGAGTTACTCTGCTTGTGGGACACTTGGTGAAAGAACCTTTGTGCAGAATGTGTCGCTCTTGTAATAAATGGCAGAGCAAGGATAGGAGCCCTGATTCTTCGAGTTCCACGGTTTCTATTCCTTCCAGGTTAAACCAAACCACTTTCCTCACCAAATTTTTACTTTAGAGAGATGATTTTGGCCGCAATTTGTGGAATAGATTGGAAGATACGGTCAGTGCAGAAACACTGTTCAAAGTATTCCACTGAGTCTATGATCAAGGTATCAAATGTTAATTATTGAACACCGTATTCAATGCTACTAATACTAAAAGTGATTTTATCGCAGTATCATAGAAAATAAATACAGTGTTTATTTATTGCGTTTGCAAAGTACTTTAAAGCCTTAACTAGGTAGTTTAGTGTGGTGTTCTCCCTAGAGGTAGACAACGCTACTAATCCCATTTGTAAAGAAATGGACTTGAAAATTATCTAAAATCAAATAATTACTTACGTTTGTGTATGTTCAATGCTTTTTCAGGGTACTTTTGTAATTATATTGCACTCGGTATTTCATATCGCCAATACCAGCCTCCAGAGCAGTCTCCCATCTGTTATAGTAATTTTAACAATTGAACTGCAGTCCCCCCATCCCATTTCTGCCCACCCCTGTCATGCTAGGTGATGCCAATGTGATGACTTTTCCGATACCTTGATCATAAACTTCTCAATGCCAATGAGCAATTTCAATCTGCTCCAGCTGTGTATGACACAACCACATCTTGGGCCTGAACATCATTAGGAACTTCTGCTGCAAGATTTCAAAATCCAAAATTAATTCCTGTAGTTTCCTAATCTCTCATTTAACTACGTCCTTAATCCTCATCTTCTACATGAAATTTAAGAATTTTTTTTGTTTTAAAATAGACTCTTCTACAGTAACTCAGAAATCACTTCTCTTGTTCAAAAATGTGCAGTGACTCCTGCCAATGAAGGAGTGTTAAGAAATGTCTGAGTATTTTTCCAGCATGTATGTGTGTTTCTAAGCTCCAAGTGGCCACTGTGGTGGGAGATCAAGATAGCAACAATAGCAATTCAAGATCGTCACCCACTTCTCTACCCTAAAACCCAGAGAAACTGAAGTATAACCAACTTAGTGGTTCTCAAAGTGTGACCTGGGACCCCTGGTGAGCCTAAGACCCTTTCAGGCAGTCTATAAAATCAAAACTACCTTCAAAATATTAAGATGTTATTTGCTGTTTTCACTCGCTGTTCATAATTGTAGTACAGTAGAGTTTTTCCAGAGACAACACGACAGGTGATACCACAACAAATTGAATGCATATGCGAATTTCGGAATCCACCTTTCTATTAAATCAGACCTTAAAGAGATTTGCAGAAAGGCTAAACAATGCCACTCTTCTCACTTTTATTGAATAGCTATTTTTCATAAAAATACTTGTTCTAACATGTAATAGGTTTATAATTGTTTTAAAATGAATTAATAAGTGCAGTAGGCAGAATCATCATCCCCCAATATGCCCACATTGTCCCAAACCCTGGAACCTCTCAATATGTTAACATGACAAAAAGAACTTTGCAGGTGTGATTAAACTAAGAATTTTGAGATGGGGAGACTATCCTCCATTATCTGTGTGGGCCTAATGTAATCACAAAGGTCGTTATGAGTAAAAGAAGGAAGCCAGAGGTTCAGAGTCAGAAAAGAAGATGTGACAGTGGAAACGGAAGTCAGAAAGATGTAGCTTACTGGCTTTGAAGATACAGAAGGAGGCCACGAGACTCTAGAAGCTAGAAAGGGCAATGAAACAAATCTTTCCGAGAGCCTCCAGAAGGAGCACAGCCTTGGATACCTTGATTTTAGCCCCGTGAAACCCATTTTAGACTTCTGACCTACAGAAATGTGAGACAGTAAATTTGTGTTGTTTTAAGCCACCAAATCTGTGTTAGTTATAACAGCAATCAGAAACTAATACAATAAGTATTTTTTATTTTTCCTCTGTTTTACTTTTACTTTCCAATATAATAAATACTAATAGATATAATCCATATAATTAAAAGTGCTTTGGGGTCCTCAATTTTTAAGCATAGAGATTCTAAGACCAAAAAGTTTGAGAATGACTGCTCTAAATAAATCCTGTGTCTTTCTGTCTTGGTTCCCTCTTCTCAGCGTGTGGTGTTCTTACTGCCAAGAATGACCTTGCCCTTGTTAAAATCCTCCCTATTCTTTGAGACTCATGTTTTATTTTACCTCCTTGTCGCTGATCACCCCAACCAGAAGCCTTCTCTCCTTAACTTTGAATTACCCCATGAGTCATTTATGTGTCTTGTATTTATGGTCTGTACTTGTCTCCTTATTAAATGTGAAGTCTTTGAGACCCAGTGTTTGACCCTTACTCATTTCAACCAGTAAATATTGTCATACATTTTATATGCGTAAAATATCTTAGGCAACAAGGATAGGAGAGGTTTTGTTGGTTTTTGTCTATTTGAACTTTTTTTTTTTAAGTATGATCTCTCATTCTCAGGAATAAAATGAGGAGTGTAGATTGTTCAGAAAGAGTTGAGATGCTGTTCTACCAAATGACAGTGATATTGATAAGAAAAAATTGTGTGTGTGTGTGTGTGTGAGAGAGAGAGAGAGAGAGAGATCCTTGGGATATTTACATTTATTTGATTATACTTGGCATCCAGTTAAATTTTTTTCTAACATTGCTATCTCCTATTCATTTAGCCTAACATCTACCAGCTTTGGAAGGATACGTTTTATTCCCTCAAATAAATTTAATAAAGTGAGCAAAAAAATTGTTTTTCAAGTATGTTGTGTACTTAAATAAATACATCTTTCAATCAAATGCTCAGTAAAAATTTATTAAGATCCCACTATATTCCAGGCACTATCCTATAGGCACTTGTTTTACAGCCTGGCACGCGGAAGACATTCAATAAAGGTAGCCTTGGTTGTTCCTTTATTCATTTTCCCCGCCCTTTCCTTGGCCCCGCCCAGATTACTTTTCCTTATTTCCCTGTCGCCCTGCAGCTTTTAGACTCCAGGCGGCTGCCGTAAGGCGGGGCGGCAAGATGGCAGCCTCCGCTTTTGCTGGTGCCGTGAGAGCAGCATCAGGTCAGTGGGAAGCGACGCGCTCGAGTCACAGAAGGGGGTCCTGGCGCAGGACGGAGTGGGCGTTTAGCGTGGAGGTTAACAGGGAAAAAGCAAAATGGGGAAGGGGGTGTCGTTATTTGAGGCCAGAGGGTTCCGAATTTTCTCCGGGGCGGCCTGTATTCGGCTACCGGCAGCAGAGATCCCCGAGACTCCTGGACCCTTGCGGACCTGGGTCTCCCGCAGGTTCCGCTTCCTTACCGGCTCGTAACCGTTCCGCCTTCCCTAGAAAACAAACCAGAGGGACTAGGGTAGCGGGGCTGGCGCGAGGAAGACAGAACAGTCGCACTTGACTTTCTGATTTGGAGGCTAGAACCCGCCACTCACGACCCTTGACCTTGAAGTTATTTAATATCTTTGAACTGTAGATTCTGCAGCTCTAAAATAGGGATAATACTATCCTCCTGAGGACTAGATGAGCTCGTGCACGTACAGCGCCTTGCGTGGTACCTGACATATCGTGAGCGTGTCTGTATGAGATTCAAGCAATATGCAGGGAATGTGGCTGTTTGGTTCACTCAGATCCCGGTGCATCCTGACCTAGAGATGATCGGAGTGAAACGTTGCCTTCACTCTAAGGACTGCTGCAAAAAGTTAAAGATCATTCAAATAGGATAAGGTTATCAGTAAATTACTTTCACACAAAATAAGGATAAAATTCTGTGGAAGAAGAATAGAAATAAAGAAGAAAAAAGTGTAAAGTTACAGAAGAGCTTGTTATTTGGGATATTTTTAAATTGCGAAATACAACATATAAAAATTTATATAGCATACACGAATAACTTGAATAATTTAAGCAAACATGGGTAGAACTTAACACCCAGGCCAGAACGTACAACGCTACCTGAAGTGTCTTTTCCACTTCTGTGTGCCTCCCCAATCAAAATTAGCTATTTCTGCCGAACATAAACTCTATCTTTATTTTTATTATTACCTTGTCTTTTGTTCTGTAGTAATTTTAGGATCCATATATGCGTCATAAGTAATATACTGTTTAGTTTTGTCTGCTTGTACTTTACATGAACGGAATCACAGTATGTACTCTTGTGTTTTTATATTGTGAAATTCATTCATTTTACATGCAGCTGTAATGCTTTCTCATTGGTATAGAATAGTCCCTCATGTGATTACCCCATTTTTCTATTCTTCATTTTATTGTTGATGGGTGTTTGGGTGTTTCCATTTGGGGTGGTTAGATGCAAAGCTGATTGGTGGTGTGTCCTGGTACATGTGTGCAAGAGTTTCTCTAAGGTGTGTGTGTATACATATAAAACTGGCTATAGACTTGCTGAATCAGAGTATGTATATATTCTGCATTGCCTGATAACCGCCAAAGTGATGTGTTTATTTAAAGCCACCCAGCACTGTATGCTCCACATTTTCATGTGGAGTTGTTAAGATCTATAGATTTTTTTCAGTCTGATCTTGGTGGCATTGTGGTTTAAATAGCATTTCCCTGATTAGTAATGAGCCTGGATAGCTTTATATGTGTGAATTAGACATTCAAATTTCTTTGATGAAATACTTAAATATTTTGCCCATTTTTCTATTGGATTCTTCGTCTTACTGATTTATGGTAGTTCTTTATATATTCTGGGTATGTGTCTTTTCTCATTTAAATGTTTCCAAATGTCTCCCACTCTGGCTTGCTTTTTTAGTTTAAAGTATCTTTTGATGAAAAGAAGTTCTTATTTTCATCAACTTGAATTTATTGTCCTTGTTTTTTTAAAAATAGATAAGATATTAATGCACTATGGTATTTAGATTCCATTGAAAACATTTAAGAGAGTGATGTGATATTTTTAAATGTCAGTATTTGAAATACGCTAGACATTATATCCTTTTTAAGAACGTAAACTATTTATAATTTTAGATATTACTTAAAATTTTGTGAAAAGGTATATAATTTTTCAAATTTCTTTTAGAGGGTATGGGATCAAAAAAGCTTGCAAAAAAAAAAAAAAAGCTTGAAGACCACTACTTTAGACACTGTCACACTCATCTACCCCTCCGCATATTCCTTGGATTCCTGCCATAGGGGACTATTTGTAATTCTCCAAACATAATACATAATTTCCCAAACATACTACATATTCCATTTTCTGCCTCCTGTTCCCTCCACCTCCTCTTATTCCTTCGAAACTGGTTTTGTATCACCTTCTTTGTGAAAACATCAGTCTTCTCCATTCAAGAGTAAAGAGAAAGCCAGTCTGTATTAAAATACTCGAACAGGGCAGAAGACTGAAGGAGCAGTTAATTACTGCCCTTGATTTGTGAGCTGCCCTTTTGTTAACACAGCCTGAGGTGGACTGTGTTCGTTTTTTACAAACTAAATCACAATGCTGGTCCACGAGAGGGTATGGTGGACAAAAGCCCCCCCAAGTCACTTTCTCAGGAACTGCTCTTAAACCAGGCTCACCCTTCCTGTTCTTCCAGGAGCCATGTTTTTCTAACCTCAGTGTGTTTATTCCGTTTCATCTTGTTAATTTTGATGTGTTTTTCCTCTTACCAAGATCACTCTGCGTCCAGATAGTCTGTCTTCATAAACACATTAATAAGTCATGGTTCCCAGCTTGTTTTTTCATGCAGATTTGCTAAACATGCCTTATGAAGATATGTTCATAAGAGTCAATTAGGGAGCCAGGAAGACACTTTCACCAGCAGAACAGCAATCAGCTCATTTGAGGGTAGTTTTCAGTCAGCTTGGAATTTACCTAACAGTACTATTATCCTGCCCACATTGCTGTATTTATTTAGAATATAAGAAACCTCACATGCTTTCCTAAAGTCAGGGTGCACCGTGTCTAGATACTGCTCTAATTTCTCAGGCTGGTGACTACATCAAAAAATAAAATGAAGTTCTTTTTAAGGAACAATTTATTCCCAGTTGACCAAATATTTTTTTTTCTCTGTGCACTTCTTTTTTTTTTTAATCCATTCTAACCTTTTTTCTACAGATAAGCTTGTAGTTTACCCATTTATTTCTAGACTCTATCTGCTCACTTCCCTGAGGGGCAAGTTCCAAGAATTTCTGAGAGGCTTTTTTTTTTTTAATTGAGACATATCTAGCTCTGATGACCTGTGAAAATTGGATTTTCTTGCCTACAATCCTCCTCTTTGATTCACTTTAATCTTTGAAAGATTACCTCCTAGTTTGTAATCATGTCTGCAAATAGTTTTCAGCTCTTTGAGACATAAATTATTTATACCTGGAGACTTGAAGGCCTGCACTGAGTAGAGAATTTGACTTCCAGAGGCCCAGTGTAAGGGCTGCCTCACCGGTCTCCTGAATCTTGGATTTCAGCTAATTCATTAACGTTTATGCTACATTTTTCGGTTTGAAAATTGTTATCTTTGCTGGAGAACAGAAAAGCAGAATAAGGGTTTTAAGTGTTCTGTCTTCCTTCTGCCACCTCTTAACATTATACCATCTTTGCTAAGCATTCCTCAGCTATTTTTTATCTGCCGTTAACATTCGTTAAGTGTTTTCTCCATGCCAAGCACTGTTATCAGCACTCTACATGGTTTATTTTATTTAATTCTCATTACATGCTCCTGATTAAAATCATTTAAATTTGAGGAAACTGGGGCACAGAGAGGTTAAGTAACTGGCCCATGGTCACACAGCTAGTAAGTACTAGAGTTGGATTTGAATCCAAACAATCTGACTCAAACATTGGGACTTCACTTCTGTGCCACACTGCGTTTGTTATGTGAAATCAGTGCAGTGGAGAGTAAGACAGTGGTTCTAAGTCCTTGCTTAGTATCTTTTTTTTAAAAATACTTGAAGTTTAGTTGATTTGCAATGCCGTGTTAGTTTCTGGTGTATGGCATAGTGACTCCGTTATACATATATGTGTTCTTTTTCATCTTCTGTCTCATTATGGACTATTACAAGATACTGAGTGTAGTTCCCTGTGTTGCACAGCAGGACCTTGTTGTTTATAGTGGAGCTTTTCTTTTAACTAACTATTGAGGTATAATTTACATACCATGAAATGACTTGTTTTATGTGTACAACTTGATGTAGTGAGTTGTGCAGCCACCACCACAGTCCAGTTTTAGGACACGTCCATCATCCTGTGGAGCTTGGCCAATGTGCACATTCTCGAGTCCCACACTAGGCTCAGTCAGAATCTACAGGTGGAGTCGGAGCCCTGAGTGATTCTGCTTTGCAGCGTGGCCTCTGGTCTGGCAGTGCTGTGCAGGACTGACAAAGAGAACTGTGTTCTATCCACACATCTAGGCCCTCCGTGATCTGCCTTCTGATCCGCCCGCCTTGTCTCCCACTACTCCCCAGGCTTCTCTGATAGTCAGGCAAGCGGTGCTCAGCCTCTGGGCAGGTCCAGTCCCCACTCCCGACCTGGATCTGTTCCAGCTTCCTTGCCTTCACACATGTTGTCCATCCTACCTGGAATCTGTACCTCCTCCTCTCATGGCCTCTTCATTTTCTAGAGGGGAGCTCAAGTACCTCTTCTGTCTCCTCTTTTTGCTCTACTGCCTCTCTGGGGAGCTGTCAGGCTTTCGTGTCTCTGCCACGCTGCTGCCCTTCATGCAGGAGTTTGTCTCGTCAGTCTCAGATCTGGAGGTGGGGGTTAACATTCCATGTCTTTTTTCCCACTACTGCTGAACGCAGAACTAAGGCACGTCGGGCTGGTTTGTGGTGATGGCTGCACCACTCTCTAAAGTTACTAAAAAGCATTGGATTGTACACAAATGGATAATTTTGTGGCATGTAAGCTACACCTCAGTAAGGTTGAGAAAAAGTTCCACGTGTGGGTCTCATGCTCAGGACACATTAATTACATGTAACACTTGGTTGCTTTGATACATTACTTCATTTTAAGTACCCGGATGCATACTTGGAGCGTCACATTGAGCATATATGCTTCTCTCTCTCTCTCTAGGAATCTTCCGACCCCTGAATATTTTGGCCTCTTCAGCCTATCGAAACTGTGCCAAGAATGCCTGTCTTAGTTCTGCCCTGTCCACCCGACGTTTCAGTCCCACTCAGACACCGGTTGTTTCCTCTGCTCCCAGGCTTACCACATCTGTCAGGAACCTGACATGTGGGCCTGCAGCAACAGTCCTCAGCAGGTGGGGAACATTTCAGTAAGCATGATGCTGGAACAAAAATTCTAAAATCTTCATGCCTCCAACAACATCTTAGAAGTCCATGATACCTTTGCCTGCCTACAGTTTATTCTGTAGACTTTGCCTGATGGAATGGGAGAATATTTGTGCCGGCAGCAGGGACAACCAAACCGAGCACCCTTCTAATGTTCTAGCTGTTGTTTCTGGGATGGCGTCTGTTGGCCAAAGTGGGGGGGAGGTGAACAAGATGCTCAGCTTGCAAGGCTGGGCGGCGAGTGGCGCTCGTTCAGCCAGCAGATGTTTACTTACTCCTGGGTGCCCAGCACCATACTTGGTATGAGGGAAACGAAGATAAAAACAAGCTGAAGTCCTCAGGGGGCTTATAATTCAGCGGGCAGATGGACGAGAAATCAGGTGGTTGAAGTATCACAGGATGCATTCTCCCGCAGGGAAGGAGGGGGTAGGTGATGGAGGGCCCGCAAGCTGCTATTCTTACCTACACGTAGTGTCACCTGAAATAATAGTGTTATTGAAAGTCAGCTCTATTCCGGTGGAGCTGCTTCTTTCAAAGTATGGAAGTGGATTTTATCCTTTAATCAGTCTTACTGCTGAGTTAGGTTTCTCTTAATATATTTTAGAGTGGCCCCCTTGCTCCCAGGTGTCCTGAAGCCACCAGTCAGAACTGTCACATACTTCAGTTCACGCAAAGGCAAGAGAAAGACCGTGAAAGCTGTCATCTATAGGTTTCTTCGACTTCATTCTGGCCTGTGGCTAAGGAGGAAGGTGAGTCGTCACGTGGTTACTTGCTTGGACAAGGAGTGTAGGCAGACTGAACTGATGCAGAATTCAGTTAGCCTGTTCCTGACTTACCTCCCCGCGCCCCCCAACCCCCGACTTACAGTAGCTTTTACAGTGCAGTGCTTAAGTCCCAGCTCGGCAGGCATCTCTTCATGTAAACAAATCCATATGAAGAAAACATGTTTAAGCATTCATATAACAAAATATTCAGTGATGAAAGTCTTCGCTGTAGGGCAGGTTCCTCTCCGGTCTCTTACATGTCACCTTATCTAATGATTACCTGGATCCCTTAGAGACCCCCGTGCAGTGATCCTGTGGGGAGGCTCTGTTTAAGCCGAGAGTGTTAAAACAGCGGAGTGGACTTAGTCATCTGGCTCAAGTCTGGGGACTGAAGAGCTTCCAGCCAACCTTGGATTGGGTTCTCCAGGTGGTTTAATGTCTATGACAGAACATTAACCCCTCATACAC